ACAATATCGGAAGAAGACCAACATTTTTTCCCCTACAGATTTTTCCTCGCAGCTGTCTGTCCCTGGTCTGCTGAAGCTGCTACCGGCAAGCTGCGGGCGCCGCCGCAGGCACTCAGCGGCAGACGGCTTTCAGCCACCAGGTACGTATGGCGTGCGTCTGCCAAAAGGTCTGCCGGCGGCGGCTCCGCCCCGTCACATTCGTCTGCCCTGTCCAACGGCAGCTCGCGGAGTGACAAGGCGAGCTGCCCAGTTAAGGCGCTTTATTGCCCCTGTAATTTCTAATTTGTGGGGCGGTGAGTGTGATGCGGAAAATCCACGACGACCCAATGCACGCGAAAAAACAAGCAGCGGAGGAAAGAAGTCGTGAAAACCATACGGCTGGCATTTCGCACACGCAAATACGAAGAAACAAGCATCGACAGAATCTCGAACGCGCCGAAACCGAAACTGGGGTATTGAGCAGTTTCACAATGCGAAAACGTCGACAGCAAGAAATGCAAAACGGGAAAATGCCAAAATTAAGGAACAGCTCGGAAAGGCCGTTTTGGACAAAGCCGCTGAGATAATATGTCGTGGCCGACACTGTGGTTTCGCGCATGAACACAAAACAAATTCAAAACCAAAATTTGACCCCTTTTGAAATCAAACATTTCCAGCGCACTATGCCCATACACGTGTTTTGTACCGAAACGCAAATTTCAAGCACGAAAACAACAAAAATATGAGTTTACGCCACGGCAAAATCAAGTTCTGTGGCCTATATCTACTACAACAACAACAGCAGCAACACCAACAACAACAGCAGCAACAACAACAGCAACGACTAGTACTGCTGCTGCTGCTCCTGCTACTACTACCACTACTACTACCACTGCCACTACTACAACCACTACCACTACCACTACCACTACCACTACCACTACCACTACCACCACCACAGTAGCAGTAGTAGTAGTTGTTGTTGTTGTCGTGGTGGCTACCACAGTATGATTGCAAGCAGGGTTACCACTACAACGATTACAACAACGACGGCGACGACGACGCCGACGGCGGGGGCGGCAGCGGCGGCGGCGGCTGCTGCTGCTGTTACAGCACCGACTGTACCTGTGCAGTGTGCGATAACAATGGCACCCATCGATCCGGCCGTGTTGCTACTGTTAGTGTGAACAATCACTTGACTTGACTTGACTGTCCGCATAGGTCCGATGAAGTCTTAGCGAAGTGAAAAAAGCACGGGTCCTGTGTCGGTGCACGGCACTGCCTAACGTATCAAAGCAACATATCACAGTCGAGACTGCGCACTCACAAATGGATGAGCGGACGGCAGCACAAAGCCGTGGCTAAAGCTTGTTACAAAACTCAGCAGCCCAGGCTGCATACATGAGGACAGGCTCACGCATCAAAATCTCACGCTGCTACCCAGTCAATTGCTGGGGCTTGGCCGCAGGGGCGCCATGCAGGCTCCTTGCAAATGGCACTGCTTCATCAATCGCCGCCTCTAGCATCCAGTTGCCGCACTACTGGGCCCGGCGGGGCTGCTCCGGTTTTCACTTCCCCTCCCTCCGTCTCCACAATCACGCGAAGACATTTCATGGCCTCCATCCGTTCCTGTTGGCGAGCTATCTGTGGTCTGACCCTGAGTAGCACTCGATGATCCTTCGTTTCCCGGGGTGAACAATCACAAATGAACAATCAAGATGCGCCAGAAAAACAAAAATCGCGTAGGATCTCTAAGAAACCCGGCAGTATCTTTGTGGATCTGTCTGGTGCCAGCCAACAACGAGCTCACGTAATTCTAGCAATAAATAGCAAGAACAAATACTGAAAACTCGTATCGAGTAAGGTAGTGATACTGGTAGGGCCCTGAATTTGGACAATCTCTGTTACTTTCATCAAGATCAGGGGTCAGGGGAGCAGGATGTGGGAGAATACAACATGTGCAAGCGGTGGTGATGAGTTGCACATCCCCTTTTAGATTCCCACAGTGACGTCTTGGACCCCTATTTATAGTATCAAATTGCTTAGCGGGAAAGCTATCGGCAACTATTTTTACCTTAGGGTGATTTCAAAATGTAGTGGTTTATATATATATATACATACATTTGAATTTCTTGGTTCGCTACAGATAGGTCTAGGTTGGGTTCCGGGTTTAGGGTCTAGGGTTTAAAGTTTACGGACGGGCCTCGTTTTTGTCACCACTCTCTCGGAAATAGGGGAGCTTGGACGTCAAAGTGTAATACTTGCATGGAACCGGCGGTGAAATTGCAGGAAAGCCCTCTTGTGAATGCCTGCATCCCCGCTGCGCACTTCATACGGAACTATAAGATTCAAAAATATTGGCATCTGAACTTTGCCGTGTACTACGCCATACTTTTGAGCTGAGATGGATGCTCCCATGCTCACGTGAACCCCTCCGAAAGATTTTGCTGCCATAGCGGTGCCCACCGTCCTCCAGAAAGAGGAGTTCTTGTGAATTGAAGTTCTGTGCCAGCTCAGCAGAAGCAGGTCTGTGCTTGTTGTCACGAGATGAGGCAACAGGCAGTCCTGGCCGTTAAGGTCCTGTCAGCTGCATTGTCTTTGAAGAACCTGGGGCTTTGCATTTGCAAGCTAGCTCGCATTTGGACAACAGTGGGCAAAGCATGACGTGTTAAAACTGAGAAGTCCCCGCGCGTATCGGACATCAGATCCTGGGGGCTTGCTCACCTTGCTCCAAGGGATCTACAAAAACTGAAGGTCTGTTGTCACCAGATTGGATTCAGTGAACATTTCGCCTGTTGTTCAATCAAACTGGTCCTTTGTGTCATCGAACCTTCCAAAACAAACTCCTTACTCCTTCATGTTGCGATAGCAGTGGAAGCCCAAGTCAGGTGGACATTTGGAATACAACAAAAAGCTCTAGTGGCTCAAAGCTGTAACGTTCGGACGCACTGCAGTTGATGCTGATCAAACTTGATGAGAAAAGCTATCCCGCCCTTAAAGCTATGACGTAGTGGTAAACGGTGCAAACATTATGCCCATGAATCTTGACTGACCAGGCCGTTGCTAGGAAGGTAAAAATCTTCGTAAATGTTTTGGCTCCCGCTAGTTGGTCATGACACTGGCTCGCCCTCGGGAATCTTACAATCAATGTTAATAGTGTTACTGCGGATACAAATGACCCTTGATTTTGGCGATTGCTGCTCATCATCACCTTGATCTCACGACAATTTCCATGACTTTGTGACATGCCTTGCCTTGCCGTCAAGTAGTGAGTTACTTCGTGGCAGTGCAATTGCTAGTAGTAATCGCTTCTCCCTAAAACCAGGCCCCGCCGCTAATGAATGCTCCAAACCAGAACATAAAATCACGTTCTGATGGTTTCTGAGGCTACCGTGGGGCTGCTTGTTCTATAAGTGAGGGTGGCACAGTTGTCTGCAAGATGCTAGCAAAAAGCGAGTATTGAAGTCGACATGCCAGGGTGGCGAAGGCAAGCGTCGACGGGTTTGGCACACGTGGAACCTCATGCAAGCCAGTCTTCAAACACTCAAGAAGCAACTGCCAACCCAGCAAAGCATAGAATGCATCAGCGTCCTCGGAAGATCTCTTGACTTCCCCCAAGGCTGAGCAACAAAAAGAATGCAAGCGCGTACAAGGCCAGCACCATGCTCATGTCCACGTTCTCGGAGGCAAGTGTTTTAAACAGCTCCTGCCAGCATGCATTACACCGCTTGGTCTGTGCAATTTATTAAAGGTGGCACAAGGGTAGAAAAATGTAGAAACAAGGTGTTCAAGTGGAAAAGTGTAGGCAAAAGGTCAAAACATGTCAAAGGTGACAAGCTGTGTTAAAACATGTAGAAAAAACAAAAAAACCAAGGCAAACAACATGTCCAAAAGAAGTGACAAAATGCAATGTTTCACGAGCCCACTTGTCTTACCGTTTTCTCATCTTTTCTCAACAGGTCTTTTATCTTTTTCTACCTCTACCTTTCCGATTAACTTTTTTCACACTTTTTTCCGACCTAACTTTCAAATACCGCCCTCGGTCTTTGTCCAATGAGTTGTTGTGTAACGTTACCCGCCTCTCCAAACATATCTGTCGAGAGAGCACCGAGATAGCTGACATCAGCGCCGAGCCTGCGTACAGGAAAACAAGGCCGCCAATGCTTCAACTAGCAACTAGCACATGCGTCGTAACGCGTCCAAAAGTGCAGCCGCACAATATATGTAGATATGTATATCGTAGGAGAAAAGCCAACGAACGCGTCCGCATGTCCTAGCTGTGCTTATATCAACTGGCCGGGAAGCCGATCGCAACGTTATTGTTGCAGCATGCTGCTGCCTGATGCCTGACAAACTAAGTGAGGCCTTCTCGCCGCCAGGCACACGTTGAAGGGTGCACCTGCATACACATGTCTGGCAGATTCTGGAAGCAACCTCGAGATGCGAAAGCACCAATGGTAGCCAACATGACGAATGACGAGTCATCCTGATTTGAGGGATGCAGTGGCTGCTTTCGAAATGTTATTGATTTTGTTGAGCTTGGGGTTACTGAGCAATCTGCGTGCGAATGCGTAAATGGCACTGTCCCAATGCAGGATGGCAGGCAAGCTGTTTTTTCTGCAGGGATCTGCAAGATTCTCCACATCTAAGCCGCATGAATTCTAAAACACAGGGACCTGGGAAGCATGCAACCCCTGCTTGCGGCTTGAATGTTTTGCCTATTACATTTGTTGCAACTTTTTCATGAAACGGACGATGCACTTGAGATCCAAGCCAGGTCCGCATACAGTGAAAGTCGGACGAAAGATTCCGCGTCCGCACACTCTGACTGCCGCAGCTCAGGAGCTCCATAGCCACGTTGAAGCTCGCACTGCAGGGTCGTCCAGCAAAACTTTGCCCCAAACCCCTTCAAGTGATCACCAGAATGGACCCAAAAATCCCTGACTCCAAGAGGGCGCATCGCACAACAGAAACAAAAAAACCCACACCTACCTGGTGCTGGCAGCCCGGCAGCTGGCCCCTCACGCTCCAGTGTACAAAGACCTTGTGGGTCATATTTTCAACATGTGGAGTAGTTGAACAAGCATGTTGGAATCACATGAGGTAACAACAAGTTTAGATTTCCACGCCACGCCAAGGAGCGTTGCCGCAGGCGTTTCTGCGGGCGCTTCTGCAGTCATTGCTGCAGGCGAAGCCGCGGATGCCAATGGTGTTGCCACATTTGTAGCAGGGGTTGCCGCACGTGTTGCCACAGGCGTGGCCGGGGGCGGAGATGGAGGGGCAGCAGCAGCTGGTTGGTCGCTAACCCCGAACAACCTGCGAATGTCCGTGCTGGCGCTTTTTGCCTCGCCGGCTTTCAGTGAGAGCGGAGACATGCACGCCCTACTCTACTCTCAAATGTTCTGAGCATCCAGCCCCTGAGGCTGCCATTGGCGATTTCGCGCCGGCAGCTAGCAAGCTCTTTACCATGTCTGTCTGTTCCTGCCACACCTTGTCCGCAGGGCGACAACCTACTCAATCCAAAATGCCTACCCTTTTGTCCAAGCTGGGCCAATTAAGAGCAGGACCGCCCGCGTCAGCATGTCAATGCCATCTCCATCCGAGGAACTGTCAGAATAGCTTGCGGGTGCAGCGAGAGCTGTGGTCATGCAAGGTGCAAATCACACTAACCTGGCTGACATCTGGGCACAACTGGGCTGCCCCGACTCCAGCTTTTTGGCCGTCTTGAGCATCTCCGTGACCACAGTGCCCAGGTTATAGCGCACCTGAACCCACGAAATGTGCATGACAGCAGTTCTTCCTACACAAATGCTTCAAGCGGTCTTGCAACATGTTGTGGATGACAGCTGGCGGACGTAGTGAGAGTACCAAACTTCACGTGCCATGACCCCTGCATGATCCTTTCTTGTAGAATGGACCGATCATCGAGAACATGAGAGCATTCCCATGATTCTGCAGCCACGGGTCAGCATGGAAGAGAGGAGTGCGCCCGCGATTGTCTGCCACATCAGGGCTTGCCCTCTTGCTCAACAGGTACCTGGGTGGATCGGGTAGTTGTGGTGTTGGTTCAGGGTTGATTGGACCACGAAACAAACCGTTCCATTGTCCTAGAGGCTCAAGGATTCCATGCAGAAAGGCAACTCAACTGAGTAGCGCCTTTTCGGTGGTTGAACCTAGTACGGTGACGTTTTTTAAACATCCGGACACGTAAAGAACCGAACAGGTAGATTATACTACCCCTGCTAAACATGGCGTCCGGCCGCCCACGACTAAAACATCCGGAATTGAATCCAAACAGGAAAACATTCGGAAAAAATGAAGCTCTTTATATAAGATTCTATAGTAAACCCCTACCCAACTGCGATCCAGGTTCAGGGCTAGCTCGGATTTGCGGTTCACGGCCTCAGGCAGCTCTTGATTCTGACCTCCCTTGCAATCACATGCCTTGCTGGTTCTTGATATTTCTTGATATCATCCCTATATAAACTCTATATTATATATATACATATATATATATATACCCGCACTCCCTACTAAGAACCAGTAAATAAAATGCTCTCAATGACTGAGCACCGCTGCGCTCCAACAGATCTGGCCTAGAATGTCTGAGCTTGTGGCTGCCTCAGCAAGTGCACTCCAGTGCGGTCCACTTGCTGTTACCTCAGAAGAAGTTACAATAATCCGAGGCAGAAGCCATGGCAGCTATCGGCTGACATGCATTAAAAACATGTTGTGTGTAACTCTCTGTGAATGAATGCCGACTGGTGACATCATCAATGTCAGCCCCTGAGAAATTAAGCCACGGCATGTTTCTGGCTACACTTGGTAAATGCACTCTCTATGACACCGCAACATGACTGCTTGTGAACATGCCCAGCCTTGGAGCAGCAATGCTTCAATCTTGGTCTTGTTGAAATGACGGCAAGCATCCAAGAAGTCGCGATTCAGCTGCTGCTTTGAAGCTTCCTTCTCTTCGGCCAGTCTGCGGGCCGTGTCAGTACCCGGGTCCACGCGAACCACGGGAGGCGCCGGCGGAGGTGAAACTCTTACTGGAGGTGAAGGTGCAGTGGCAGCGGCCGGGGTCGCTTTGGTTTCCACGGCACTCGACTCCACGGAGGGGCTCGGCTGCGCGGCGATCGGATGGATCAACGCCAGGAGCCCCACAAATGTGGTAACCCGTTTAAACATGGCGGCACAAAGTGCCTAAACCTCTGGCTGCTAGATTGACTGACTCGAGCAGCTGCGTCCAAGTTGCACAGCTGGAGACTAAGCCAAGACTTTCGCACTCTGCACCAAACGCGAGACATGCCAAAAGTATTCGCAGTCTGCTCGCCGTCTTGAATCCGTCCTCTCTGAATCACCTGAGCCTGCAAGTACAATAGCCCAAACGGGGGATATTGTGAAGTCGTATACTATACAACTCCATACCGTTCCGGCTGGCGCTGCGTGCTCCTCATATATCCCCCTTGAAGAACTTCCCAATTCAGTCTTAACATGTCCCCCCTTAAGATTTTACCCTGCTGATTGATCCAAATTCCCTCTCTGAGGCAGTACTTCCTCTTATAAAGGTTGCATGCAAAATGCAGCATGGCCTCCGGGTCGAGGGAGAAATGCCTGGCGGATTGTTTGGGGAAATTCAATTCAAGGTGGGGAGGTAGTATTTGGGGGTTATATGGGGTTATATAGGGATTATATAGGGATGATACAGGGATTACATGATAATAATGGAAAAGACAACAAAGACGACTGCTACGGGGAATTCCACATTCTATCTACTCAAGGATCACATAAGCCCACAGGCGCTGAGCGTATCGGGATTGGAGAGACTATGCCATCAACTTTAGATTTTGTGAGACGTGTTCCCGGTCTTTAAAACCCCGAAGAAAGGATCCTAGATGGTACCATTGAAGCATTTTGGAGCGCTTGATGGGAAGTTCTGAGAACATAGCTTTTCTCTAGCTTTCGTACGTCATGGTGCTGGTTCTGGTGCTTTGCATGCAAACAACAAAAGTCGCGGACATTTCCAAGAACGCACAGTGCAATTGGGATCGTGGATCAACGGTTGCCAGCCTGCTGGCCATCGGACGCCTTGACCGGCAGGAAGTCGAACAAAGCCTGTCTGACCCCCACATGTTCGAGGATGCTTCTATCAAATGTAATTACAGGAATTCTGTTGCAACCACGGCAATTGGGCAACACAGCACTTGGCAAACTTTATCACAGCGTCGATACTTCAAAATCTCCTGGGTTTCATTGCCTCTGCATGTCCGAGAATGGCGCGTTGAGCGGTATCTCGGGAATGTAACTTGGAATACGCATATTAGATTGAATATTCCTCTGATCTGTCAACGTTCATCAACTCATTGCGTAAACCGGCTCCTTGAGAAAGCCAAAAGATCAAGTTGCAAATGTGACACAAGCGGGGGCGTTACCGTGTGATTCTCACACGGACGCTGTGGATTGCCACTGCTTACCGATTCTGAGTCCGTCAGAACCTCGCTAACGAAGTTACTGTAGTGAAAATTGCCAATGCGCAAACAGTCATGGCATCCCCTGGCAAGAAACTTAATCAGCGATACACACACTACACATGTCGGCAAAACTTGCTTGGTTTGCAAGTTTCCGTCCGCGTAATTAGCAAGCATGGTAGGACAAGAAACGCTTTGTTCCTGCCACCTCTGCCATATGTGCTGTCAGTTGCCTGCAACGTCTAAATCCAAAATTCCATTACGTACGTCACATATGGTGGGAGTCAACCACATTGCCCTTCATAATGTTGGGCATGACAAGCCTAATGCCACAAACGATGCTTGTACAGTGCAACTGCCAGAGATTACAACCAACGAACCCATTTCCATGCAGCCTTCTGTTCTGTACTGTTGGAAATCTGCAAAAGAAAACTTTGGCTGAAAAGGCGTGGAGTTGAGTTCGCGATCAACGTTGATTGAAGCTGAAATCTTTGGCAGAGCAGTTCTGCGCGCATGCTGCACAACGTCAAGCACAAAATAATTAGAACAACAACTGCAACAACTGGAAATAATCGTAAGCAGCAAGCCGATAGCACGTTGAGACCACGCGCCTGGAGAGCATCCCTCGAGCTCCAGGCACTTCGCCGTGCCACTTTGCATATGAAGTGCAGCATGCCTAAACCTATGGTGGCTGGCAAGCCACTTTTGAGAAACGTGAAACCAAAACCCGTCAACCAGCTGAAATTGCAGCAGCTGCGCCAGCAGATGCGTGGGGTGTCGTGACCCTGTCTGTAGCTTCTTCCACCTGAATGCTGAAAATTGACCGTTGACCGATGAAGATGAAGCTCATCAGTGCACAGCACTGAGCTGCTGACATTGATTGCAGTCGGGCCAGACTGCTGACGTCGCATTTTGTGCTCTTTTGGTTTCCTGGCAGAAATTCAAATTTTTGCGCTGCCCTGCCCCCCCCTCCCCGGACCACATTAACAGAAAATGATGCGTTAACACTTTGCCCATGTAAGTCTGGGCAAATGAATCATGCCAGGGTGCAGATGGTGGGCTGCAATTTGGAAGAACTTCGTCTTCTCTAGCTTGTATAGCTCGCCTAAGAAATCGAGCTTGAGGTAGTTGTGCAAATTCTCGAAGTGGGAAACATGCGAAATTTCGCCCTAGACTAGTGGCAGGTGCTCGTGGTTGTCACAGTCGTGGGCGATCGAAAAGGTTCCTGCCCAGGGTTGAGTGCTTCAGCGGCTGCCACATGACCCATAGCCTAAACTCCCTAAAAGGGGACAAAAGGGGGTTTTATAGGGGGTTATATAGGGGACTACTATAAGGGTTACTAAGGGGGATACTAGGAGTTTAGACAATGGCCCACATGATAGAAGGGGTATCAGAGGCCAGGTCCTCTGTGAGCAAACAATCCCCATTGATGACAGGCGGGTCTCCCTCCACAACGCACTTCTGGCCTGGCCGGGGGGCAAAAGCGGACAGGCAAAAGCGAAGAAGTACTCTCGGGCTCAAGTGCTGACCGACCTGCAACATCCTCAACTTTGATGCTCCTTGCAGGTGCTCATTTTCCACCATGTGCTCATGTGCGTGACAGGTTGACGATGGTTGACGTGTGATGAGCCGCCGGGGTCCCTGAGCAGACAATCCAGGCGCAGCTTGCAACCTAAGCTTCATGCCAGTGGCCAAAGCTTGTGGCATACTAGCCTCAATGTAGATTCAGCACAGCCCCATCTGAGGCTGCGTCATCCCCAGCGATAACTAGGTGCTCGCCAGGCAAGATGTCCAGGAACTCTGCCCCTTGGGGTTTGAGCTGCTCTGCTCCCCAAAAGCATAGACTGCACATTGACATGTGATTACAGTTTTCGCCAAAGCACCTTTGCAAACTTGCTTGACGGTTTCTCGGGACAAGCCCTGCATACCTGGGCTTTATGTGGCTGCAAGGCCCAGCTTGCAGTAGTCAAGCAACAGGACGGGATGGACTAGTGGTTAATTACAATTGATGCGTCCACAGTGCAGGGAAGGTGGTGCACCTGCTGGAGTACCTTTGCGTACTCCACCTCCTCTTTCAAGGCTGCAGGGAGCTCCTTGAGAAGATTCGCCTCAGGTCGACCAGATGCGCTCATGCAATCTGCAGCTCATGGAAAGTCATGCGTGCAGGCCTCTACACTCACGTTCTAGCTAGCCTGAAAGTCAAGCTCGCTGAAAGACCCAGGTGAAACAGGTGGATCATTAAACCTGCAGTCACCTCCTTTACGCGTTGAGCAAGGTATATGGCTCAAAAAACCATCCCGTAGCTTTAAAGCCCGCAGTGGACAGCCGTCAACGGCAGCCTCCTTTGCCATGATCCGCCGCCGCGTAAACTTGTGGTAGAGGTATTCCTAATGTCAGCAAACGCTTGTTGGGGCAACAAAGCGGAACGATCCTTGCTGATTGAAGTTTTGGCCAGCCGGAGGTTCAGCACACAGGCTAAGGTCAGGCATATACTCGTGGTGGAGCATCCTTACACGAACGCCTGCAAAAACTGATGCTGCCGCTACTAGACACTAGGCCACTAGGAGTCATGATATTATGAGGCTTCTTGGTGCTGCGAAATTTGCTTCACCCACCGTACCGCCCTTGCCAACGTGACCATCACGGTCATTGCGCCACAGCCAGCAAAACAACAATAGCAGAATGCAGTAGCCCTCAACCAGTCCTTGATCTTCCGCTGCGAGGTCTCCTCCATACGAAGCTTGTGGAGGTGCATGCGGATTGCGAACATCTCATCGTTGAAGCTGCGGCCTCGCTCACCTCAGCTGGTTCCTGTATATAGGGATAATGGAAAAGAACAGGGAAGCTACTACTTAAGGTTTAGCGTATAAGGTTTTCCTCAAATTATGGGTACTTTTTTTCGTCTGTTATCTTTGCGCTTGTAGCACAGCATGCATCGGAGAAAACAAGAGCTTTGATCTGGTTCTTCCCAAAATATCCTGATAGAAAGTCCTGCCCACCATCGAAAAGATATGCGTATATGCTTAACCCTATACCCTATAAGCCTGAACCCTAAACCCTACATGTTGGAGTCCAAGGAGCTGATCTTGAAGTAGGCTTGCGTAAGAGAAGCCACCGATACGGCGAAGGCCGATAAGGCAAAGAACATGAAGCAAAGGACAAACACACCTTGTCTTGCGAAGTGTTGAAGGTTTGAGCCATCACAGAAAATCCGTTCATCACAAGAAGGCAGGAAAAGAGGGAGGCTACCCCAAGATTATATCATCATGATGGAAAAGAAAATGGAAACTACGATCTAGGATTTGGGATTTAGGCATATTCCTTCAAACACAGAGAATGCAATGCCTACATAAGCCATATACAATTTATTCCCTTACTCCCTACTAGCCACCAGTAAAAGGCAGGTGTAGACAAGTTCAGGCAAGCAGCGCTCCACCACGTTGACTGGGGTCACTTCGGCTGGCATTGTTCGCATCACCCCAAGTGTCCAGTAGAAGCAGAAAATATACTGCTCAAACCTTAGACGGCCAGAGCTTCACCAAAAATTGTAAAATCCTTTAATCCCTGTATAAGCCCAGTTTCCATTTCACGCTCCATCTTCTTTTACATTTGATTCTCCACATTGGGAAGAATATCTCTAAACCCCAAAGCCTGAATACAAGATTCCCTTTTCTTTTCCATTATCCTTATATAATCCCTATCTTGGGGTTACATCCCTGTTTTATTGTCCCCTATAAGTTCCCTAGAACCCCCCATATAACACACAAGCAAAGCCTGGGGCCCCTGCATTGGCTTCTGTGCGTAATTCCAGGTTTCTAGGTCTGGCGCATTGCTCCTGCAGAGAGGCGAAGAGCTAACCTGTAACCCCTCGCCCTAACGTTAAACCCCCACCCCTCCTAATATTAGATACTCCCATTATTTAATAAAACGGAAGGGGGGGCTTGATATTTGGGGAGGGTCCCCATCCTAAACCCTACACCCCTAAACCCCTAAACCCTAAACCCTGGGCAGCGCCTACAAAGCTGTAGGCGACGGCAGTTACAAGCACATACTGGGCAATCTTCTGGGCACATCCCCATGCTTTCTGCCGCGAAGACTGAAAAGTTAAGGGACTTTACTGGGAACCCCAAACAGGGAAGATAGTAGAACCCTAAACCTTTTTTTTGCATCTGGACTGCAGCGACTCATCCAGGTTGAACCCCTCCGCAGGCCCTTACAACACTTTAAGCGTCAAGGAGGCTTCGAAAGCGAAGAATCCACTCTTCAGACACTATTTGAGACGTAAGCACTAGGGTCCTAAAACCCTAAACCCTAAGCCCTAAACCCTAAACCCTTAACCCTTTTAAAAGGCTTAAAAAGGTTGAAAAAGTCCTGGAGGTGGTCGTCCAATGTGGCATGCTGTCGAACTGCTCTTTGAGCGACCTGGCCAGACAAAGGCTACTGGAACCCGCGAAAGCTGTGAAAATGCTGTTCCCAAGCCGTCTGTTTCAAGGCATGTAGGGTTTAGGGTTTATGTTTTGCTATAATATACCATATCATTTTATGATATACTACATATGCTGTAAGGCCGGGGTCCCGGCGATGGCATGAAGTCGGTGACAATGCTGTCGGTTGCCCCCACGATCCAAAACAGGCACGCATTCCTGGGTTGCTGTTAAGGAACTTAAATTAAGCTACCATACAGGGTATATATAGTAATTTATACGAATATAGTAACTTAAACTAATTTACTTAACCGCAACCCGGATTCCAGTGGCAAATTCCGACGACGACCAACAAGACGCGGATCAGCATCATGCCCTGCACGATGGCGACGGAACCAATCCGCTTCTCCACTTGCTCCCAAATATCTTTGAGCTTCTTGGCACGAAGCATCTTCATTAATCGGACAATGCGAATGAACTTCAGCCTTAGTACGCACTTGGTTCCGCCGTTACTCTGCTGACCGGTGACCTCCCTGTAGCTTAACTTGGCAAAGGGGGCTACCGTAATCAATCAATGAGCTTGACGACAATGACTCTGATCACCACTACTGACATTCCCCCATCCACTGCCAAGGACACCCTACGCTTTATTCGGTCCGACTGTTACTAGAAAGCCAATACTTCTGGACTTCTGAGCCAAGGCACACCTTGGCGAGTTTTGCCACGGTTACCATGGGCCCGCCGCCTGGGCCCACCATGCTGTCGACCTCAGCAAGAGTCCCTACTACCAGTGAAGTATAGTAAAGTAAAGCAACCGTGAAACGATAACACCAGCAGCTGCAGCTGCTGCTACTCCTCCTGCTCCTACTCTTAATGCCGCTCCCACCTTAACCACCACCACTGCCACCGCCACCGCCACCGCCGCCACCACATCCACCACATCCTCCACCACCACCACCACCACCACCACCACGACCACCACCGCCGCCGCCGCCGCCGCGATAAGGATCCTTATTGCATCAAGGACTGCTCTAACTACAACTGCTTCTGCCTTGACATTGACTACTGCTCTCCGAAGTCTGAAGGATGCTGCAGCCACTTGTTGACATTAGGTCCATGCCCGTACTCCAGAATACTGAGCTCCGTCCGCCTCCCATTTTACTTACTAGCGCTGTTTTAGCGGCTGATAAAGCAGGGCATGTCGAGTCTGTGATTGGGCTCTTCGCGCAGCAGTTCATGAATTGCTGTCATCCTGGATTAAGTAGAACCTCAACATGTGAAAGATACAGCAGCTTTATCAGCAAACCCTGAAATTCTACTTACCTGAGGATGACACCACGGATGCTGCATGCAGTCTGGTGGCTATGCGGCTCCAGGGGACTGTGCTGACGAAGTCGAGCACAAACCAACCCCTAAGATAAGTGACAGCTATGATCCGCCTCTCCACAATGAGAGCCTCCTGTCAGGGCTACTTGTGCTGTCAGCCAAGTGCTTCAGCAAAAGTTCTTCAGCAAAGTGCTCAAAAGGTATGTCCCTTGACTGCGCTCAAACATCATCTTCTGTAGCAGTAATGGCAGCAGCAGTGGGAGTAGTAGTAATAGGAATAGTAATAATAATAATAGTAAGGGTAATATAATAGTAATAGTAGTAGTAGTAGTAGTCGTCGTCGTCGTCGTCGTCGTCGTCGTCGCCGCCGTCGTCGTCGCAGTCGCAGTAGCAGTAGCAGTAGCAGTAGAAGTAGTAGTAATAAGAGTAGTAGTGCTAGTAGTAGTAGTAGTAGTGGTAGTAGTGGTAGTAGTGGTAGTAGTCGTAGTAGCAGGAGGAGGAGGAGGGGTGTCGCATCAAAAAAAAATGACAAGCACCACGAAAAAATGACCTTAAAGATCAAGAAACACATGAAACATGTGCGCAAGGTATCAGTAACAATTTGATAAGCATCGAGAAGAAAGTGAGGATAAGTGTACTATACATTAGCAAGAATAAAGTGAATGGGGAATAGTAGTACTCACAGTATGAATACGGATATTACGTATACTGGTAGCAATACCGATAAGAACAATAGTTGGAAAGAAACTACGGCTCAAATCACTCTTGATGCTTGGAAAATCAATGTTGATGCTTGGCAATTTTTCTTGATGCCTTATGAACTTGTTTTTGATGCCCATGCCAGTAGTAGTAGGTTGTTGTCGTCGCGTGTGATGTCCATCGAAATCGTAAAAGGAGTTTCAAGTTGTCACGTGCCTCTTCAGCACCTTCCATCCAATTTGTTTGGAGTCTGCTGTTCTCCTTGAAGTGTGGCAGAAAACTTGTTTCTCAATTGTCAAGAAGCAGTTCCTGTGAGCCTTCCGTGTGCGGTCGTTGCTGCTCAGCCGCCAAACTGGGGGAAAACGACTGACTTATTAACCGACCGAGGGACCCGTATCGCAGCAAGGACCCACAAACATGGGGCCCCACACTCTTAGCCCAGACTCTACTGTTGTGACACTGTCCCAAAAAGTCTGCGGCTTGGCAAGTAGGATCAATTTTGGCGGGCGCTAAAACTACTCAAATACGAAGTGGCTCATAACAACCAAGACTTGAAGCCATGCAGCTGATTCTTCAACTTTAGCTTTGGCGTGAAAAAGTTCCAATTTGCTGAGATATTGTAATGACCTTTCACAGGCGACTAGGAAGTGCATCTTCCACCTGGATGCAAACATTTCGGCATACAAGTAGACATGTCAAGAAGATGTCCCTTCCTTATCAAAGGTTGTTTAGCTTGCAAGGGCTTCACTGCACATGTTCATTTTGCATTTGTTGTTTCAGTATTTTTAATTTCCGACGAAGCAGTGACCAGAGGATCTGCAGACTGACAGAAGGGTTGAGGTTGGGTGCAAAAGCGCGCCAGTCATAAAATTTTGTCGGACCTTCACAAGCCGGGCTGCACTAAGCTGAACTTAACCAAAGACCTGAACGCTCTAAAGTCTCTACCGTTATTTGGACAGGGCAAGCGTGCTGCCAAAACATCATGTGCAGACGTCATTTCTAATTATTATGCTCTTGGGCCGGATTACGCGCTGGCGCAAACTCATAAGGATCATAACGCAAACTTGCATCGCGCAGCAAGGGTGGGGAGGCCTCCCCCTCCAGGTGCTTTTCAGAGAGTGTCCCCAAGCAGAGGGTGAAGAAACGGGCTTCTCCAAGCTTCCCCAACACAGTAACCAAACGAAGCTTGTCATGGTTTCTGAAGTAGGGGCGGCAAGCAGAAAGACGCTTGCGACTCTCTCAAAAAAAACTCTTTCGTAAGCTGACTCGTCCGGCTGTCTCTAAGCGGCATGTGTCCAAGCTTTGCCCTTGGAATGAAGTTTCCACCCTACCCCTACAGCCACCCAAACCAGCGACGGTCAACTTGGCCCCGTGACTGTCTTTCTTGGGGATCACTGGCGGAATCACACATAGGGTCAAAAAATGAAGGCGCCTGCGCCTGTTGACGCACTGTCAGTGTTAACAATGGGAAAACCAAGGGCAGGAGGGTAGACATGCAAAAATCTTTTTCAAAGGCTATACCCCCTCTGTAATAGACCCCTACGTTTGTTGTGTAAGCGTGCTCTCGCTGTTTTCTGATAGCAGGGCTTTGTGAAGGGATTGGAAACTCGCATCCTAACATAGCTAATAACAGTAATCAAAAAACTAATGGTGATAGTAATACAATAACGGTAGTTGTAGTAATAATAATAATGATATCAGCAATAATATAAATAGCAACAATAATAATACTAATCGTAACAAGAGTTAGAAATAGTAACATCAATATAATTTGGAATGATAAAATCCTAAACCCTAAATCCCAAACTGCTCCACGGCCAAAGCCTTGGCGTCATCCACATCAACATCATCGCCGCGGGGTATTGCTGTGTTAAAGCTGGCGAGGATGTCCTGAACTCGGAGATTGCTTAATTAAAGTTACCAGAATAGGGGTCTATAGGGGTTAGATAGGCGGGGTTATATTGGGATTTAGGGGTTATATAGGGGATATATTCGGATTGCGAGGATAGAGATTCCCCATGTTTGGGGTTTTCGTTTGGGGGCTCCTGCCTGGAAAGTCTCTAAGTTGTTCACCCTTTCTAAAGACAGGGACCTGGCCTGATCTTAGAAAACCCGTGCCAGTAGATTCTCAACCTAGCGCCTTGGATTACACCCCGCATGCCTTGCGCAAACGACCCTTTGGGGTAGTTGAAGACGAGCTGCGGCACTGAAGGTCATCGTTGTGAGCCAAAACCAAAAATCATCAAAGCCATCTGGGTTCAAGCCTCGTTCCCACAGGGATTTGCCATGCTTCAGTCAAGTGCAAGATCTGCAGCACACAGGAGGATGGCAGCCTGCTCCTAAATTGCCAAGGGTCAACTAAGAGAAGACGAGTCACCGTTCTTGAATGAAAGCTGAAATGGTAGCACCATGGCATCCATCAGAACCACAAGCCTGTCAGCCAAAAAGAAGCTAGCAGATGTGAGGTGGCACATGTCAGGCCAAATCTTAGCATCTTGGCTGCAGACATTACATAGATGTCCCAAACCAGCTTGCTTGTCCAGCTTGGGTCCACCAAGAACACTTCTGCTGGTGTCTTGAAGGGGACGAGTGCTGCATCATCAGCCTTGGGCTTACTGGTTATTAGTAAGGAATAAAGGAATACATTATCCCTATAAATAAAAATAAAACACATATACACATGTATATATGTGTGTTTGCGCGTACTGGCATGGATAATCCCTACAAAATACAAACATAACAGGTATATATGTATACATATATATATATATACATATACCCTACTAAGCCCTAGTAAGTAGAATCTTGTCACAGGAAGACTGAAACCTAGTCATCAAGGCCAGTCAGGCAGACGATTTGAACTATAATAGTAATAAAAGGAATAATGGGGAAATACTAATGCGTACCAATAATGGCAAGGTAAACATATAAAGCTAATGGTAATAGTAATAATAATAATGGTGCTTAGAGATCTTAGCATTGGTTCACTTTGACTGCCCGGCGTTTAGATCAGCCACAACTGTGAAGCAAAGCATGCTGCCTGAGTACCTTCCAACGCCTAAAGTAGTTTGCCGGGAAGCCTTCGGCGAGGGAGCCTCGCCCTCTGATAGCATCTTCTCTCCATCTAAGGACCTCTCCTGTTCCACAGACTCGTCGAACGGGACCTCCTGACCAATTGGTACTCTGTTTCTTGTCAACCCATTCATATGAGCCATAATATGAACTCCTAGCATCCTCCTGAATAACCCGTATAGTAATCCCCTATATAATCCCCTATAGGCCTCCTTTAAGGAATTTAGACTATAGCTCATATTAAGCCCTAATCCCTATAAACTAACCCTTAATCCCAGTTTCCATTTCATTTTCCAGTTTCTGTTCCATTTGATTCTCCATTGTTGGGGCATATACCCATGAATCAAGCCCGTGAAGCCGGAAACCCTAAACCCCAAACCCTACTATAGCTCGTGCAAGAAAATGTATGTATATATACATACATATACATATACTGTATAGAGAACCCCCAAGGAGTTTAGATTCTAGACCTTATATGTTCCGCTATATAGCCCACTTTAAGGAGTTTAGACTATAGCTCATATTGGGGTCCCCTTCAGGAGTTTCGACTAAACCCTATATATTCCCCTAGAAAGCCCCCTTTGAGGAGTTTAGACTATAGCTCATATTGGGGTCCCCTTCAGGAGTTTAGACTAAACCCTA